TAGCATCAGGGTAACTTCAGAGCAAGTTACTGAATCTTAGAACAGAGTAGCATCAGGGTAACTTCAGAGCAGAATTCAAATCAGTGCTCAGTTTTTTTACCATATGATAGTACTTACCAATTTAGTGAAAGTTGATAAAAAAATAAAAAAATCACTAAAATGCCTCATTAAATGCCCAGTGTTAACTGTAGTTCATGTTTTTGAAGCATACCATTTGCATATATAACTTAAAATCATTTCACAATACCTATATGTGTATAATATTTCCTATTTTTTAGTCATTTTTAGGAAATTACAGGTTAATTCACTTGAGGTTTACCTAAATCAAATAGAAATCCAACTCAGTTTTTATTTGATGTCAACACTTATGAAAGATGTAAACAGTTTATTTAGTACTGGAGACCAAGATAAGGGCATTTCAGTAGGAATGATGTATTTTTCAGGAAAGCTTTTATTGCATAGTTACAGGTGATCATTCAAAATTTTGAAGCATAAACAATAAAAGCACTACAGAATGTAAAGTTATGGATATCTTGTAATCCTAAAGTTTGTGGATATGCATGACATTGGAAATTATATAAAATTATTATAGAAACGGTTAGGAAAAAAGGATTAAAAGACAAACATTATGAGAATTCAACCCCATTATCTATAGAAAATGAAATGCACCATCTAACAAATCAGTTAGTACCACTCCAACATAAAGGGTATAGAAATACAGGCAGTTGTGCCCAGTAGTTGTGGTACTAATGTGAATCCAGTCTCCCAAAATATGACAAGCAGTATAAATCAGAGGTTTGGCTGGTCAAAGATACTTCATGTGACAGGACTGTGTTTCAGTAGGAAGACTGAAGGTGGCAATGTTAACAATAGAAGTGGTACAGATAATGATATTATCTTTGAGATATACAACAATTGAATACAAATTTTGTGAAATACTTTGATGTAAACAACATATGTGAATGTTACTTATATATATAAATTAGTCTCATTGGACATTTAGCTACTCAAATGTTTCTGCTGAGAAGTGGTAATTAAACCAAAAGGTTGAAATGGAGATTGGACCCTAAACAGTACAATGAATAAAGCTGGAAAAATCTGCTCTTTACAGACAAATCAAAGTTCAAATTGTTCAGCAACAATTAACATCAGTTCATTCAATAACAAAGAGGAGAATTAATGGTATTATAGTCAATGTAAATCATTTACAGTGAAACATAATATGGGATTAGTACAAGTTTGGTGTTGCATCTCAGCAAATGTCAGTGATCAACACAAAACTGATGGTACCTTGACTGCTGACAAGTACAGTCATACCATTCTCTCAGGATTATGACTCATTGAGCTCATCTTCCAGCAAGAGAGTGATCCCAAGCATATGATGAATATAGTAAAACAATATCTTCACAGTAAAGAGGCTGCTCTGTGTAAAGGAAGAGGCTTGAGTACAAAATACTGCTGTGGTACTGTTTTGTACCTTTAATAAATTCATTATCTGGTTGTCATGTTATTACTTGTTTTAGAACTCTCGTTTGAGTGTTTTATTAATTGTTTCTATTGCTATATACAAATAATTTATGTGAAGAAAATTATTTTATCATGAATATATCCACTTTTCTTCATACAAAGGATGGTTAGCTAACAAATTTACTTGAGGTTTAGCCAGTTTGTCCTTAAACTTTATATTCAACTATGACTCATTCCCAGTTTGCCCCTGATAAAGAAAGGTCCACCTTTCAAGCTCTACTCAGCTTATAGGGTTTTAATTTATTTCTATTTGACTCAAAAATGAATTTATAAGATGTTATTCAATCATTTATGTTTGTGTACTAATTTTAGGTTCTCTATTTTAGGAATTTTTATTTTATTGGTCACATTTTATCCATCATTGCCATCTTCTTGCTGCCCAAAGTTTTCCCTCCTCCAGAAGGCCAGTCTAAGAGTGCAAGGGAAGAAATGGATAAGCTGATTCCTACTGCATCAGAGATCAACAGATTCTTTCAAAGCAGAAAGGCTTTGAATTAGCAAAGGATGACTGAACATTCAGTTGCTGTGATGTTTATTTTTCTAGCAGTGGATTTATTGTTTTACCATAATTTTATGTTTTTAAAATATATATATATAATTTTAGAAGCATGTTTTGCTTTCTTTGTACTATAATGTTTAATGTATGATTTTATTGATTTAGCTAGTGTTTCTAAGAGTTTTAGCTGAATTAACAAACAAATATGTTGATATATGGTATAGTTTAAAGATACTTAAACAGTTCTCTTACCTCAACTGTGGGTGTGCTTACAATAACTTGTATATATGAAAATTTAGGATGTTTCAGAAATGATTATTTTTATACCATATGTGCTTTTCTATACCCGAGTGAAATGTTTAAATAACATGTTTTCTCAAGGAAAAGTTTATTTTTTATAAATGCTGAAAGAAGAATAGTTTGGTTACATTAGTCCTAATGTTTGAACTAAAGCTGAAAGAAGAATAGTTTGGTTACAGTTGTTCCAATGTATGAACTGATGCTGAAAGAAGAATAGTTTGGTTACATTAGTCCTAATGTTGGAACTAAAGCTGAAAGAAGAATGGTTTGGTTACATTAGTCCTAATGTTGGAACTAAAGCTGAATGAAGAATAGTTTGGTTACAGTAGCCCTAATCTTTGAACTAAAGCTGAAAGAAGAATGGTTACATTAGCCCTAATGTTTGAACTAAAGCTGAATGAAGAATAGTTTGGTTACAGTAGCCCTAATGTTGGATCTAAAGCTGAAAGAAGAATGGTTTGGTTATGGTAGCACTAATGTTGGAACTAAAGCTGAATGAAGAATAGTTTGGTTACATTAGCCCTAATGTTTGAACTAAAGCTGAATGAAGAATAGTTTGGTTACAGTAGCCCAAATCTTTGAACTAAAGCTGAAAGAAGAATGGTTTGGTTACGGTAGCACTAATGTTGGAACTAAAGCTGAAAGAAGAATGGTTTGGTCACATTAGCCCTAATCTTTGAACTAAAGCTGAATGAAGAATAGTTTGGTTACAGTAGCCCTAATGTTTGAACTAAAGTTGAAAGAAGAATATTGTTGGATTACATTAGTCCCAATGTTGGAACTAAAGCTGAAAGAAGAATAGTTTGGTTACATTAGCCCTAATGTTGGAACTAAAGCTGAAAGAAGAATAGTTTGGTTACATTAGTCCTAATGTTTGAACTAAAGTTGAAAGAAGAATATTGTTAGATTACATTAGTCCCAATGTTGGAACTAAAGCTGAAAGAAGAATATTGTTAGATTACATAGTCCCAATGTTTGAACTAAAGCTGAAAGAAGAATAGTTTGGTTACATTAGCCCTAATGTTTGAACTAAAGTTGAAAGAATAATAATGTTGGAACTAAAGCTGAAAGAAGAATAGTTTGGTTACATTAGCCATAATGTTTGAACTAAAGCTGAAAGAAGAATAGTTTGGTTACATTAGCCCTAATGTTTGAACTAAAGCTGAAAGAAGAATAGTTTGGTTACAGTTGTCCCAATGTTTGAACTGATGCTGAAAGGAGAATATTGTTGGATTACAGTAGTCCCAATGTTTGAACTAAAGTTGAAAAGAATGCTTTAGGTTAATGTTTAGTATAAGATCTATAAATAAAAAAAGACAAAATATTAAGACAGTATTTTTTGTGTTACTTACTAAAGCTTTGCTCCATGTGAAGGAGTTTCTTTGACTGGAATGTTGGAAAGATATAACATTTGTTTAAACAGTGTTCACCACAAAACTGAGAGTTAATGCAGTGTTTAAACTTGTATTCTGTCATAAAGATAGATTCCAGAGAAAAGCAATAATACAGAAGGCTAATAAAGAGTACATAAAGTGGGAAAAACCTCCTGTGTAGTTCCATTACAACAACTTATGGAAAGATTGTATCACAGTACAGTACAGCTACGGTTTCCATTTTTCTGTATGCTGCATACTCACACAAACTTCACTGTAACAGCTACTGTTTTCTAAAACTTTTCCCAAATGGAAATCCTATTTATATGGTATTTGATGTGAATAACATTAGCAAGTAATTTAAATTATATTAACCTCTTACTTTTCTAAAATGCATAAGTCAATATTCTACAAGTTTCTGCTTAAATCAGTATAAAATAAACCAAAAAACGTTTGAGTAAGGTAGTAGATGTAATATACTATGAGTATTACATGTTTAAACTATTTTGATCAAGATAGTACATGTAATGTATTGTCAGTCTTATTTACCTGTTAAAACCATTTTGATCAAGACAGTACATGTAATGTATTGTCAGTCTTATTTACCTGTTAAAACCATTTTTATTATAGACAGTACATGTAATATATTGTCAGTCTTACTTACCTGCTTGTCTTGTTTTTGACAACTTTCAGGTGTTAACAGTTAAGAAGTTCATATTTAGATTTTATTTAATTTTGAAAAATGGTTGTTTTGGAATTCTCTCAAGTATGTCTCTGGCCCTGAACTTACTTTACACCCATAATAAAACTTTGTAAAAGTAGAGGAAGAAAATATAAACCTAGCACAAATAAACAAACCAGCTGGGTAGTCAGTTATTTAGAAAAACAAAAATCTGTGACAATTCCAGCCTTGGAAACACATTCTAGTTCTTTATAACTGAAACTTGGAAACATAACAATAAAATAAAAACAATCTAGTTCTTTATAACTAAAACTTGGAAACATAATAATAAACTAAAAACAATCTAGTTCTTTATAACTAAAACTTGGAAACACATAACAATAAACTAAAACTGTCTAGTTCTTTATGATTGAAACTTGAAAACACAGAATAAACTAAAACTGTCTAGTTCTTTATGATTGAAACTTGGAAATACGTAACAATAAACTAAAACTGTCTAGTTCTTTATGATTGAAACTTGGAAATACGTAACAAACTAAAACTGTCTAGTTCTTTATGATTGAAACTTGGAAACACATAATAAACTAAACCAGTCTAGTTCTTTATGATTGAAACTTGGAAATACGTAACAATAAACTAAAACTGTCTAGTTCTTTATGATCAAAACTTGGAAACACATAACAATAAACTAAAACTACAGTTAAGTTTCAGTCATAAAGGTGTTTCCATAACAATAAACTAAAACTATAGTTCTTTATGACTGAAACTTGGAAACACATAACAATAAACTAAAAACATTCTAGTTCTTTATGACTGAAACTTGGAAACACATAACAATAAACTAAAAACATTCTAGTTCTTTATGACTGAAACTTGGAAACACATAACAATAAACTAAAAACATTCTAGTTCTTTATGACTGAAACTTGGAAACACATAACAATAAACTAAAACATTCTAGTTCTTTAGGACTGAAACTTGGAAACACATAATAATAAATAATCATGACAGTTATTCCAGTAAATTACTTAAAAGACTTATGTTTACATTAGTTTTGTAATTAGTTAGTTACTCAGAATTATCATGATAGTTGATCCAGTAAATTACTTAAAAGACTTATGTTTACATTAGTTTTGTAATTAGTTAGTTACTCAGAATTATCACGATAGTTGATCCAGTAAATTACTAAAAAGACTTATGTTTACATTAGTTTCGTAATTAGTTAGTTACTCAGAATTATCATGATAGTTGATCCAGTAAATTACTTAAAAGACTTATGTTTACATTAGTTTCGTAATTAGTTAGTTACTCAGAATTATCATGATAGTTGATCCAGTGGGTTAGTTGAAAAAGTTTCATTTGATTAAGTTTAAGTTGAGTTTATGTGTCATTGTTAAATCCCTCTATATTTGATAACAGTTAAGCTAGTATTTCAAGGCCATGGTGAAGTAGGGCATTTAAATATTTTTGTTTGCCCACTGTTCTTTTAATGAATAATGCTTTCATCATTACATGGCAATACCACAGAAAAGTATATTGAACAAGTCTTATGTGAGCATAATGTTCATTCAATTTACTACAAGATCTCAGCTAAGACCAGAGATGGTACTACTGTTTGGATAACAAAGAAGTTGTTAAGTAAATAAATGAGGCTTAATTCAATTCAGCTGAGCTGTGTTTCTCTAGGTAACCTTGTATAAAATCTTTGCAAATGATATGGTCAATCTTGCATAGCAGTAGCAAAAACCAAATTAATGTTTGACTTTATTACATGTGAATTTTTATCCTCAAAATATAACAAATGGCTCTAAACCTCAAGTTGGAAGAGAATTAATTCGAAATTACAATAGGGCAAAAATCGGAAGGAACATTTAAAAGTATAAGACTGAAAGTAGGACTGGTTACATTTTAACATATAACTTACTACACATGACTGAAAATAGGCATTGTTACACATAGAACATTTAAAACTACAGCTTACTACACTTGACTGAATACATGTGAAATATTCAAAACCACAGGTTACTGTACATGACTGAAAATAGGCATTGTTACATTTGGAACATTTAAAACCACAGGTTATTATTGTCCATGAATAAAAGTAGGTCTAGACACTTGGAACATTTAAAAAACACCTTACTAGACATGACTTAAGGTAGGAATATTTAAAACCATAAGTTATTACTGTACATGAATAATAGTAGTCCTGGTTACATATTTAAAAATGTCTCCAAGCTAATAATTTTTCAGACTCACAAAACTTTACTGGACCTTCAATACTCTTTATTATTTAGTTTCATACAACAAAATTAAGACAAATCCCCTGCATCTGTTTGTGTACATAATGTTTTTATCACATTAGGAAACTTTTAACCAGCATATAAATTACAACACAATTAACATTCTTTATTATTTAGTTTCATCCAACAAAATGAAGACAAATCCACTGCACCAGTTTGTGTACACAATGTTCTGATCACATTAGGAAACTTTTTAACCAGCATATAAACTACAACACAGGTCAATGCCCTATATTATTAAGCACCGTAAAAGTAGTGGCTCTTTTCAGTACTCTCAATAATCACACACTTAACTACAATTATTAAAACCCACTATCTACCCCAAAAACTACAACAGTGTACTGGGGATCAATGACCCATAAATGTTTTTAATAATCACACACGTAAGTACAGTTATTAAAATCCACAATGTATTAGGAAACAAAATCTTTAACCTTCTCTTCGTTTGTTATAACAAGAATTCTTCACTTCAAAGTGCAAGTCTATATTGTTTGAAATATAGTGAGCTGATTTATACAACATGGAATCTAAAGTAAAGAATTATTCAGCATGTCAGTGAGATCTAATGTAATTAATAAATGTACTAAACATCATCAGCATTTTAACATGATCAATACTGTTATTAAAACAACAAAAATTACCTATTTTTTCAAACCAATCAAAATTATTAAATATCATATTGAAGTCAAAGTATCATTGTCATTTATCAAGACTCATCTATACAGTAAAATTGAGTAATGGCTGGGAGAGTTTTATAATGTCTACAGAGAAAATGGACCCTTAATGCTTGAATATAGAAATGATAACAGTCCCCACAACTTTTACTATTTCACAACTGCTACAACTTTATATATATGAGCAAATAGTCTGTTTAAAGAAACAGATAAAAAAATTAAATTTTTTATTTATTTCTATACAAACCATTTCTGAATTATAAAGAAGAAAATAAATTATAAAATACACTACTGTTAGGATCAAAAGATATTTCTACTTTGTTCTGTGATCAATTTATCTGGTTATTTGATAAATATAGTTGTTTCCTCGGTGTTCTGTGATCAATTTGTTTTATTTCATAATATAATTCGTTTCCTCCATGTTCTGTCATCAACTTGTCTGGTTATATTTCATAATATAGTTAATTTACATGCCATTTTAAGAGATATCACTCATCTTTGTACACTATACAGCTAAATTAATTTAAATAAACAAATACTAATGCAATATATCTGATAATTTTCTGGAAAGTCAATATGTTATTCTTCGTAAGAAACATTTAACATCTATGTTTTCTCTAAACTGTTATGTTAGAGTCTCTCTCAAACAAACACATTTGTTTATCTATGTAAAATATTTCACAAAAAATATCATTGGATTAATAGTTACTGTAAATGCAACAGTTCACCAAATAAACCATTCTATCAAATAATCAAGTAAATGTACTTAATGCTATGACTCCTTCCTCATGTTAGAGCACTTCAAGTCTCTTTATCTAATGAAGCAGTAAAACTTCCACACATATACAGCAGCAGATATAAGTAAAACTAAAACCTAAATCATCTACTTGTATAAACTAAAAGAAGTCTACTGGGAAAAGGAGGGTGACAATACAGATGTCTCTAATATGTTCAGCCTTCACTGCCTTGAAGATGAATAACAAAACTGGGAAGGAAAGAAACAGACACTCAAGAGAAATTAATATCAAGCGCAATAAATTTCTGACTTGCATCCACATGATCAGATTAACGAAATCAGAAGCCAGTAACATCATCTTCATTAGTGGACTTAATATCCAATTCCTTCAGTAAACAATTATCTATAATTGGACATTTTATTCCATTTCTTCAGTAAACAATGATCTACAAGTGGACTTGTTATCCCATTCCTCCAGTAATCAATGATCTACAAGTGGACTTGTTATCCCATTTCTTCCATAAACAATGATCTACAAGTGGACATGTTATCCCATTCCTTCAGTAAACAATGATCTACAAGTGGACACTTTATCCCATTCCTCCAGTAAACAATGATCTACAAGTGGACTTGTTATCCCATTCCTTCTGTAAACAATGATCTACAAGTGAACTCGTTATCCCATTCCTTCTGTAAACAATGATCTACAAGTGGACTTGTTATCCCATTCCTTCAGTAAACAATGATCTACAAGTGGACATGTTATCCCATTCCTCCAGTAAACAATGATCTACAAGTGGACTTGCTATCCCATTTCTTCAGTAAACAATGATCTACAAGTGGACATGTTATCCCATTCCTTCAGTAAACAATGATCTACAAGTGGACATTTTATCCCATTTCTTCAGTAAACAATGATCTACAAGTGGACTTGTTATCCCATTCCTTCAGTAAACAATGATCTACAAGTGGACATGTACTCCATTCC